GCAAGCCTTTCGCTCGCCGCGTGTCCAAACATCGGCATTGTACGATGAGAGAGTCGGCGAAGCGTGCACTGATTTGAAAACCAATAGCATCCATCTTTCTGAAAGATCATTCGTACCGTCGCGCAAATCCTGCGACTCCTGCGACTCTTCGCGACCATTCTTTCGCATCCTTTCGTGAGCACGAACGGCGGCCGGGGTTTCGCGGGTCTAAATGAAATTACCGAGTAATCCGGGGACCGGCGACATCAACGGGATTTAAGGGCGGATATTTGGATGCGCGTTCACTTCGTGCTCGGCTTGCTCTCAACGAAGAAGTTCCCTAACAAAATATTCGACTTTTTACAAGTGATTGAGAATTTTGTAAATAAAACGCGAATAATACACATTGCTAGTTTTGAACAAAACTTACGATGAAAACAATTCTAGCATAGAATACGCAAAGTTTTAGTGCAAAGGTTTACTTTGGGATACGTCGATTTTTTTGATAAACGGAAAGATGCTCTTCACGTCATAAATCATCATTACCTCATCATTTATTTCATTTCTTGTGTGTTTCGTTTATCTTTTATAGTACCGACAAAGCATCGTGAAATTCCGTGATTCGGGCTTAAAAAAGTGCATCCTCATAAAACTATGACAGTCTATGACCATCTTTAATGCTTAAAGAATGTGAAAAGTCAGTAACTGACTGGCTGAAAGAAAGGGTGGTAAAAAATCTCACAACAGAAAGCAAAGACATTAAGAAGCTTTCTAGTGTATCAACTTTCTTATATCTCTATAAGAAATACACGATTATCGTCTTACTTAAAAATACACCATAAAAAGACCAACGTCACAAATGCAGCAATCTCGCATTAACGGTATCATAAAGTAAACTAATAAAAATTTCAAAATTTGAAAAGTTGCGTTTATATCCGCTAGAAAAAAAAACATCGATAACTCGTAAGTAGTGAATCAGCATTAAAAATCGAAGAACTACAGCATTTTCTTCTTTCGTTAGAATTGAAAATTAGGGACCAAAGTTTCTTCTAACGTATAATTATTAATAATAATTTTGTATTATAAATTTTTAGCTTTACACAATCTATATTAGACTATATTCTTTGTCTATAGAATGTGGCGCAACCACGTGCATATACAAAAAAAGGGAAAACAGCAAACAAAAGGGCTGTAGCAGAAAAGGAAAATTTATGTACGTCTAACCTTTCCATCTGCGTAGAATTTCGTTCGGCCCATCAGTTTGGCGGTTCCCCAAGATTTAGGCCCAGCGGACAGTTGCAAGGATCGTCGTCTGGGGTCGGCCCGTTTGTCTAATGATCCCCGATTTTGTGGTGATTTAAAGTAAAAGCCTTTAACGTCCGCCGGAGCATCGTAAACGCGATGCGAATCACCCGAATCGATAGATTGTTATCGGGACTGCAATGCTTGAAAGTTAAATGTTTGGTTTTTACAAAAGTAAAATACGCACGTAAAAAAGATCATTATCACCGTACATTCTAACTTATCGTAGAGAATCTTACAATAATTGCAAACAAACTATTATTGGAAAACGAAAATGAAAGAAGAAAAGAAAAAGACGGTAGAAAGGATACACAACATGTACGGGAAAGGAAAGCAAGCGACTCCTAGCGTCCGATCATTTACTATTATACCAGCAGGACATCTCGAGTGTCACTTCATCGAACTTTCAGCGACACAATGTCACTCAGTTCGCTTCTCCTCTTCCCTCATTCTCCTATTTCGCCCTCTTCCCTTTTGCGCACCCTCCTCTTACGCGATCTAGGAACTGCCTTCGTAGAAGACCTCGTAATGGTTTTTATTCAGACAGATCGACTCTTTACATTGACATTTGCATGGGTTAGAATTAATGATTTTTTTTTCTCCTGTAGTATCCATTATTACATTTCGTGTTGACACAACGAAAAATCGATAAGGGATTTTTGTTTGCATCACCGCACCAAGTCAAGTACAAGAATTTTTGAGAGCAGAAAAAGTGTACCAGGTTGTTAAAATACCTCTTTAGGAATGTATTATTTGTTTTTTCACTGCCGTAAAAAATTTAAAAAAGGACGTTTCAACGCACTCTTAAACACGCTGTCATCATTTTTCGTACATAATCAATAACGTTAAAAAATGGAAAGACACTTAAGTGTTCTTTTGAGAGCGCGTTAAAAGATTCAGTTTTCATGCTTTTCTATAAAATTTATATCGCCAAAGAATGCTCATAATACGTAGGCTTCCGAACATAATGACGATCTGTAACATCTATATTGAAGAAACGTCAGAACGCTTAATGCATCGTTCTTTATTGGCGGCGAACTTCAAAAAAAAGGGTTTTGGCGAGAAAATAAGAAATCGTCCGCGGAACAAATTCGCGTAACTAACGTACCGGACCGCACTGCTGGTCATGATCTCGCAAAAGTAACACAATGCCTAGCGCTACCTCTTCATGAGACGAACGATAAATCATTGCCAAGTGCCCGCGACTAAACGACGTCGCGTTTGACAATCTGAGGAAAATCATTGTGCTTTCGTGCTACCGTGTCTTCCTGAAAAAGATATTACGGTCGCGAGAAAGAAATTTCACATCCGAGAGAATCCTTTCGGTCGTTATCGAGACAAATCTCTGCTTTAAATTTACCGATGAGTGACTCGACTGTACGAATGCATCGAGTTCTGCATGAATCACTTTACCGTAGATTCTAAAAGCACTTTATACAGAAAAAGGTGTCTTTATATCAGTAAAATATATTGCAAAGCGCGTGAAAAAAATATTTAAAAAATTATTCTGTTTCAAAATATAATTAATAATAAATTATACGGATGTTGAGATTTTGTGTACTCGTAAAAAATTGTTAAAGAATTGTTATCGCACACATGGTGGTGCCGAAAAAATTAATCAGCACATGAGGTAAAGCGTAGATCATTCCACCCAAAATGTCAATGTCCGCGATCGCAAGCCTGATCCTCGGTGAATTTTCAATCCGGAGTACATTATGGCAGTTTACATAATTTCTCCGCGCAAAAAGGAAAGCTGGCCGAGTATCAATGGGAACGAGGGACGGATCGAAGTCGCGATGTGGCAGTTCGACAGAGAGATGCACGAAAGTGTGGGCAAAGGAACCCTCGTCCTGCAAAATATCAAAGGCTCAGCGGGGAAATTGAAAGGCTTTGTATGAAAATAAGAATGTATCGACTGCCCCCGAATAACCACTCATCCGGGGACAAGATTTTCAAATCTTATATTTAAACGCTTTGTCGCAAGAGATCGAAATAAAAGAAGGGAGGTTTCTTATTTATTCTATCCAGAATATATAATTTTTCGATATCGTTGTGCAATCTTGCTATTATTCTATGTCTGATAAGAAGTATAAGTGGCAGATTTATATCTATATAAAGTCATATATTTTACTATTATGCTTTTCATCGCTCTACGAAATATATTCGGCTAATGGAATAAATTTATACCCGGCATATATATGAAATATGCACTGAAATTAATAATATAATAATTTAATATGCCAAAATTATGTAAAAATATATTCTTATATATCATAATTTGTAATTTTGATATAAATACTTGACGCAAAACGCGCGGAGAAATATTTAAAAGATTATTCTGTTCAAAAACAATATTAATATGTTACTAATACTGGATTATATGCTCAATAGTATTAATTGCTTGCTAACAAATTCTAGCTGAAATTATTTATAAACTAATTTCTAGCGTATAGCTAATTTCACATAGACGATTCTTACCTGACAACGCCAACTGTGAACTACTGTTCAACCTGGAAATGATATGGTGTCAGCAAGTTTAGTAGTCGATATACACGTTACGGTAACTTACGAACGAAAATGGTAACTTGCCGACTTGCTGAAAGCAGCAGGATGTAATATTGAGGAGCGGTAATATTACCGTTTTCGCTATATGATATAAAAATCAATAGCAATAATGGTAAAACATAAATTTATAAAACTTTGCGAGCAATAGCTATAAAATGATTTTTAATAACACATTTTGAATTTAAAAAACTTTGATTTCTCGATTTTTGCCTCGATGATGCTTGTGCTTCAAGTGGCAACTTATATGTTGATCATGCAAAATTCACGAAAAAATTTTAATTCTGAGATTATTTCTAATTAAATTGAAATAAAAATGTGATCACTTTTTACAGAATTAAGATAAAAATGTCAAAAATTTTTGACACGATTAATACAATAATGTTTAGATTGTTTAATAAAATTTTACAATTTATAATTATTTTTTTTGTAAATATTGATCATGTGTATTGATTTAATTTTTTTCAGACTAACTACATTTTTATCATTATCTAAGAGTTTAGCTTCGCTTACCGTTTTTTACTCTGACCGCAATATTCATTAAAGAATGTTAACGCGCAGCAAATTTTTCAAGTCACGCGAAGTTCTATATGTTGTGAATTTCTACGATTGTGTTTAATAGCCAACGTAGATAGATTAAAAGAAAATTGCGCGAATTACACAATTTTTATCTTTCGTAAAACGTTTTTATTTTTTTTTTAATTCGTTATTTAAATAAAACAATACTGCTAAGAGTGGGAAATCATAAAAATCATCGGTATATCAGAGTGGACATAGGTTGATTATAGATAGTCTTATGCGAACTGCGATACAGTTTACAAGCGCGCTTGATTACAGCAACATTTTTTTCTGCACGAAAGATTTTTATTACTTCAAAAATAATATCTTTTCTCGGCCAATTCGTATGCGTAAATATCGAATGTTATTGAGTTTGCCGGAGATATTTGTAAAAAATAAAATTTGTTTCGTAAAGCATGCGCATATCGAAACGGTTGCGCGCAATAAAACAGTTCGATTTTCGCGGACGATGTGTGAAACGTATGAAGCCACTTCTATTAATGTTCAAATTATTGGGAATGTTTGCCAACGATATTTCAGGAGATCGATTAAAACGCTGCTCCAGACCTTTTTACGGTATTTGTGTCTTTTGGATCAGCATGTACGTCTCGTACACATGCTTCTTGTCGTTCAGTTTTGTTACCTCAAAATCCATTTCAACGAGAGTAACGATAGAGTTTGTGAAACATGTAATAGGATATATAAGTCTTAGCGCTAACACCATAGCTATTTATTCTTCGCAAAATCTCTTCGGCAAGGTGAGAAGGATAATAAGGTGGAAAAATACACATTCTAATTAATCACTCTTGTTAATTAATTATTCTCGTTCTGAAATTAAAAGCTGCTGTTTTTTTTACATATATTTGCTACAGTATTTCGACCGATTGGACAGTTACGATCACGAAGTTGCACGGGTGGCACACGAAAGGAGAGACAATTTCTGGATACCCTGGATCGCTACATTTTCAACGACTACTGTTATTTTGTTGCTCATAATCGTAATGACACAAGAGACATCGATGGGCATTTTGTTCTTTGTATTTCTTTCAGATATTTGCACAATAATCATGCATCTATTCAACACTCTAGAAAAGTTTCTAATACTATATTTGATATTAATACGCTTCAAACATTTGAATGAAAAGATTATACCGCATGTGGTATGGAATGAAAAGCACTCGCCGTGGAACGCCAAGAAACGCAGGATAAAGACGATCAAAATCTCGGACGTGAAAATTATGTACTTGATGCTTTACGATGCTCAGCAAGCTTTTAATGGTATCTACAGCAATTCTCTGTTGTTGTGGTTTTCGACCATCATGATACATATTCTTGCGAATGTACGTATCTTCCGCGAAAAAAGTCCACTGATATCCTGCGCTTTTGTTGTTCCTCCGATTATACAGCTGTTGACTTTGTGCGCGATTTGTCACTACACAGCCGAAGAGGTACAAATAAATTAAATTTTATCTATTATATAAATAAAAATTTCTAATTTTTCAGTAATTTTGTTTTGTTTAGAAAATTTATTGTTATTGTGAATCGTTATTTATTCCAGGCAAACAAGATCCCGTGTACCTTAAACGAAGGTATGAGTATGCTCGCTAATTCAGGACAAACGACGGTAATTATTTTATAAAAAAGTTATACGAATTTCTTATAAAATTTTTTAATTTGTTTTCTCTGCTACTTTAGGATAAAATTAGTACCTTAACATATTTCTTACACAATCGCGTGTCTTTCGAAGCGGCAGGATTTTTCACAATTAATTTACCTTTGTTCCAATCTGTAAGTAATTTTCTATTTTGTGACTATAAATGTGATCAGCGACAAATAAATCAAAAAAATATATTTATAACGCTTTTCTTTTTCACACTTACTTTTTACTTTTTCAGATTATCGCGACAATAACCACTTATTTCATAATACTATAATAATCACATGTATTCAAGTTAAATAGTGTAAATTAATCTATTACATGTTTTTGTAAAATAAACATTATTTTAATAAATTCAATTTTTGCATACGTTATATTGAATGTACATGTGTGTAACTCACTTAATCATAAACTCTGAGTGTGTAATAATTAATTTAATCATTTACATAGTTTTGAACAAATTTTGAATATTGTTTTTAACGCATGTTCATGTAACAAGTCATGTAACAAGTCATGGTTTTTTATCGACTTTTGTACATCGACACAAACGTTGCGTGATTCGATGTGGAACGGAAACATAGCATGTGAGACATGTAGCTTTAGCTAGATTAATGTATTCGTGATTTCTATTACCAAATGTGCCATAAATGGATTTACAATGCTACTAGGTGCGCAATTAAGTTTCCGGGTTTTTTTTTATCAATGCAAAATGGAAAATTTCAAGAGAAATACAAAAAACGGTTTATTCAAAGTATCGTCCCTCGCTAGCTACACATTTTTGCCATCTCTCTGGCAATACATGAATACCGCGACGATAAAACGACGCGTCTTTGCATCGAAACCATTTATCCAATCAGTTTTGCACTTCTTCGAAATTGGCCAAGTGTAGCCCAGCTAAGCCATGTGCCATCGACCGGAACAAGTGATAATTGGAAGGGGCCAGGTCTGGTGAATACAGCGGGTGCGGTAGCAGATCCC